TCCCACCTTTGCACCAGGTACACTCTTATCTCTCCAAGCATAATTACAATATGCTTGGCTTTTGCAGCTACAAATACTGAGTTAAAGGTTTCTGACATGTTGTTCACCAAAGTATCATACTTTTGACCATTTCTAAACCTTGATTTGCTCCATAACCTTGGTGGGATCTTCCAAAGGTGCTTGAATCCCTCTTCATTAACATTGTTCATTTCACGCATAATTTTTTCCCAAACATTTGAGTGACTTGCACTAACATCCTTCCACGTCAATTCCTTTAATTTGACACCAGGAAATTTCTTTCTGAAATTGCTATATAAGTGCCTAACAAGAATTACACATGTCAAACATCCACATCAGTAACTAGTACAAGAATAAAACATATCAAATCTGACTTAACAATAATTTTTACCAAACACAAAACTTTTGGTCAACTTCTGGCAGCAACTCATCAAGTGCAGGCAACAACCCCTGTATTTTAGGCCAACCAAATCAAATTTAAATGTCTTGCATAATTTAACAAAAAACAAATCATTTATAAAGAAATAAATACACACCTTTTGTTAATCACTTATAAAGGTATATGTCTTGCATAATCTGACACCTCCCAAATCAGTTGTCAATAGATTCAATAACCAACTCCATGAATCTTTGGTTTCTCCCTTAACTACAACAAATGTTATTGGCAGCATCTGGTCATTTAGGTCTCTCATAATGGTTGCAAGAATTTGTCCACCATAGTAGCCTTTAAAAAAGCACCCATCTAATCCTATGATATGTCTGCACTTAAAGAAATCATCCTTGCAATCTTTGAGGCATACATAAATCCTTTGGAAATGTGAATTCAAATACCTCTCAGGATTCTCACTACTTTTCTCTCAACCTTGACTTGGTTGACTTGTAATTTTCACATTTGAACCAGGGTTTGCCCTTAACAACTCATGACCATAATTATGGATTCTTGTATATTGCTCCCCAAGTGAACCATCAATAATGTCAATAGCATGTGACTTAGCTCTGTATGCAAGTATCTTATTGATCCCTACATTTCACTTTTGTTTTATTTTCTCCATTATATTAGTCAAATTCAAATTAGGATTCTCTCTTACATTAATTTGAATATTTTTTATCTACCATTTGGAATTTGGGAACCTAACCTTATAATCCCTACTGCATGTGTGCTTGTCCATAATTTTCTCAACTACCAAGTATTATCATCTTGTAATTTTGCACAGTATGACTCCCATGGACAAACTTTCTTACATATGACTCTCATCCTCTTGTTATCATTTTTTTTTAAATTTGAGGTTTCCACCTTAATGAATAACATAAGTTCTAATTGCCTCTTTAAAGTCTTCACTAGTAGCAAAATAAGTCCCTAATTCCCACATGTAATGATCCATTCTTTTTGGAAGCTTGAAAGTTGGAAAATCATCGTTTAAAATCTCATCATCTTCACTATCATAATCATGTGATAACTCATCACTATCATACTCCTCAATGTCACTCAAACCTCTAAAGATCTCATTTGTAACATCACATTCATTCACATCATCAAATGCATCACTACCCTTGATTGCTTCTTCCACCTCTCTTTGTTTCTTTGGTCTCCCAGGCTTGGCTTTGCCTTTCCTATTACCTTTTTCTTTACCCTTTCGCCTCCTATTTCCCTTCCCATTTCCTTTACCTTTTACTTTGCCCTTCCCTTTCCTTTCCTTTCATATTTATCAATAGCAATTTCTTCAGCAATTCCAATTGAATCCTCACCAGAATCCTCAAAGTTCACATTCAACACACTATCATCTTCACAATCACCACCATGTTTTTGGTTACATTCCAACCCCTCATCTTTTTGGTTACATTTTGGTCCCTGATAGATACAAATAAGTCCCTCATCTACTAAATCAGTTTGGACACTTACCAGATAAGATATGCCATCTAATATATCATCTTCTTGGTTACATATAATATGATAAGTGGTCTCATCTAAAGTAATATCCACTATTTCATCTTCAAACACAATGTCCCCCTCAAAGTTAAGATCATGACATGACTCTTTTTGGTTACTGCCATCACTTGTCCCATTTACATTAACATCCTTAAATGAACCTTCTTGGTCAACTGCAGCTGAATCTTCTACACTAGTGGGCCCTCATTCATCACATTATCATCTTCAATATCACCATTATGTTTTTAGTTACATTCCATCCCTTCATCTTCTTGGTTACTGATTGGGAAAATAACAAGTGTACTATTTCGCCTGTTGTAGTTAAAATAAGGGATTTCTCCCCAATATCAATTGAACAAAAAGACTTTGGGGGGTTTTTATGAGGGTTGTTACAAACAGTAATGAGTTCATTGCAAGGAAAATAGAGCAAATAAAATAGTAAACGGAAACAGAGATGAGTAGATTGCTAGGGGTCTGTGAATGATTCTTCCTGCAACAAATTCAATTTATCAACACAATGACCTAATTCACAATATTCAATTACCGGTTCTCTAGGGTATCCAATCCTAAGTCCTTGGTGAAAAGATCTTTAAACACATAACCTAATTACTATGTCCATAGATAATTATCGTTATGTTCAAGCATTCGATTATCAAGAATGTCTGATTATGATAAAATATCCCTAGTCCTAGGTAACATTTATTATCACATGCACTTATTCATATTAACAAACAATCGCTATCCAGCTAAAATTGTTTATAAAAGATTAGAATCAGTTTGTCCGACGGGTAAAGCATTAAGAACAAATATAAGAACAACTCAAAACTTATGGAAAAAAAATAGTCATTGCATTATTAAAAAGCATTCATTGCATTCAGAATCAGGGTCACCCTATAGCAATTGGGGGTTTAGATGCTCATAACAATAAAGGAAAATGAAAGAAAAGAAGTTGTCATTATAGAAAATCAAAGGAAATCAATCTTCAATTGTGAAAACTCTTGAAAATATGACTCAGTGGCGAAAATTTGAGTTCTCCAACCTCCAAAACACGTTTTTTCTCTCTCTAAATGTTCACCCCTGGAAAAATCGCGTTCTGGGAGTAAATAGTCAGCTTCTGGGCTTTGGAAATTTTTGGGCTTCATTACGCATAATGACCTAGGTGTTATGTGTAACGCCCACGAGAACACCCCAAGTATCATACTCGTAACCACTTTTTAGGCCATCTGCGCAAACTGATACGCGTAATGACTTGTCTGTTACGCGTATCAGCAGAGGGTGAATTTTTCCTTTTCTCTGTTGATTCACGTATCCTACGCGTATAGGTGAGGTCCATACGCGTAATAACTAAGGCATTATGTGTATGGACAACAGAGTCTTCAATTTTTCATTTTCCTTCTGCTTTCTCGTTCCGGCTCGATCTTACATCTCGCATTTGATCATCTAAGCTTCCAAACCTGTATTTGACCTGAAAAATACCTAAAAGCGTAAAATATCCTCGAGAAACTCAAAATCCACGACACGCTACGACAAAACCTAATTACGACTAAAACACATGTAACTTCATACAATTTACCTGACTTATTGATGATTACCAGATGATTTCATGATGATTATATAGCATAAATGGTGACTGATCAGTTGCATTTTGGTCCCTGATAATTATTTTGGCTACAAATAAGTCTATCAAATACTAAATTAGTGTGAACACTTACAAGATAAGGTGTGCCATCCAATATATCATCTTCTTGGTCACATATAATATGATCAGTGGTCCCATCTAAAGTAATATCCACTATTGCATATTCAGACACAATTTCCCCCTCAAAGTTAAAATCTTGATATGACTCTTTTTGGTTACTGCCCTCATTGGTCCCATCCACATTAACATCCTCAAATGAACCTTCTTGGTCAACTCAGCCGAATCTTCTACACTAGTGGGCCCTCATTCATTAAATTTGTCACCTAAATTATTCAATTCTTCAATGGTTCCCAGGTCAGCAAAAGTTCATTTAACACCATTATTAAATTCATCCAACATGTCATCTTCTAAATTGTCGACTTCTACAACATTGGGACCCACATTATTTTCAAGATGCAATATCTGCTCTTCCCCATACACTGGATGCATTACATATAGATGAACATTCACATTGATAAATGCAATCGTTTTCATTATATTTGTTCATGCGTCATCTTGCAACATCACTAGCTCATTATCATCCATTGCATCATAATACCACAAGCTCTCAACTTTTGGGTAACCTAAGTCTTTTAACCCACCCAGGATCTCAAAATAACTCCAAAAATCCGGGTCAACTTGCTAAATCTCCTCTAACCCCTTGTAACATAAACTATTAAACTCACCAAACACAACCCCATGATGGATAACACACTCAAACCTATCACGCATGACCTAATCACATCAAATAACTCAGAAATGAGACTTCGAAGTATAAGAAATTGTTAAACATTTGCTTTTTAAAATAGTAAGTTCATGCACGTACGTTGGCGTTGAAATGAGACAATGGTTGAGTTGCTAAGTATCGTCTTCTGCTATGTTCCAACAGTCGTCGTCTTCAACCACCGAGCTCTTCTTCTTCGCAACTCTAGTTTTTTTTTGATAATTAGAATGAAACTATGAAACTGAGAGAGAAAGTTAAGATTTTCAGGATTTTATGTTTCTAAAAATGAAAACAAAAATTACTATAATAATGATTGAAAAAATGTTTTTAATGCCACATCACTATCTCACAATACCACATAGATGTCTGTTAACGTTTTTCTAATAAAATTAACCGAAATGATTTGTTAGACTAATAGAGTTGTATTAAAAGACTATATTATAACGTTTTTGAATGGTAGGACTAAATAGAAACAATAATTTTATTTAAGAGACTAAAAATGAATTAAGCCTTAAAAAAAAGTGATGGAAAATTTGGGCTAAGAAACACACCTAAAAAACCCTAATATGTTATCTCTTCATATATAAATACATCCATTAGAACCTCATCAAAAACTTTGACAGCAGCTTGGAAAGAATAACAGGCGGAAGAAAATGCAGATCTTTGTGAAAACACTCACCGGCAAGACTATCACCCTCGAGGTGGAGTCAAGCGACACCATTGATAATGTCAAAGCTAAGATTCAGGACAAGGAAGGTTCGGTGTAACTTAAAAACCAGATCCATTTTTTTTATTGTTTTCTCGTATTCGTTTTTGTTTATCCCATCTTGTTTTTGAATTGTTTAGGCATTCCTCCGGACCAGCAGAGGTTGATCTTCGCCGGAAAACAGTTGGAGGATGGCCGCACCCTCGCCGACTATAACATCCAGAAAGGTTCGGAATTTTCAAAATCGATTTAATCAATGAACCCTAAATTTCATGTTTTTTTTGCTGAGTGGCCGAACCCTAAATTTGTTTAGATTGAATATTTGGTGACTGAACCCTATTTGTTTTTTTGTTGAATGACTCTTTATTAATTGGTGAGGCTTATAAGATCTGTTTTTGATTTTGCAGAGTCAACACTGCATCTTGTTTTGAGGCTTCGTGGTGGTATTATTGAGCCATCTTTGATGGCATTGGCCAGGAAATACAATCAGGATAAGACAATCTGCCGCAAGTAAGTTTATACAATCCAAGCTTTATGTTATTAGTATTGGAAAGTGTAAAATTGTATTTTTTTAATTTTAGAATTAGTATTTGCAAGAGTAATTGCCATGTTTAGGATGGCTAGTTTGATGATTGATGTATTCAAGGTGATGCATGTAGTTAGCCTAATGTATTAGTGAAACACTTAAATTGCCGACAAGTAGAAGACTATACAACATTAAAAAAGAACAATCTGATTATGTAAATTATTGCTCCTGTGGATCCAATTTAGTGTTATGTTTAGATGTTACATAGTCCAATTGAGGTTGTTTGGAAGTATGTTAAACTTCACCATATGTGTTTGATATTGCCTTTAACGATTTCTTTGGTGTGAACTTCTTCTAACGATTTCTTATGTGTGAACTTCTTCTAACGATTTCTTATATGTGAACTTCTAACGATTTCTTATGTGTGAACTTCAGAAACCAATGATTTTGAAACATTTTATACTCTTTATAAAGTAATGAATAGTAGTAATTGCCATGGTGGTGCATATTGGAAAATAAATATTAGAAACCCTACATCTTATTTGATACTATAGGTCTACATAGTTACTTTGTAGTATTCCGTTTTATGACAGGAGACGATTTGAAATACAATTGTCTTGCCCATGTATTATCAGAAGTGAGTGGTCTAAATTGATGTATGCTTACTGATCATTGTGCTTACAGGTGCTATGCACGTCTGCACCCTCGTGCTGTCAACTGCAGGAAAAAGAAGTGTGGACACAGCAACCAGGTAGAATAATCTCTCTGGGTTATTGCTTGTATGAATTATTGAATGTAATTCACGTATTATTATTTAGTCTTCATGGATTACACTTTTGTATTGCAGTTGAGGCCCAAGAAGAAGATCAAGTAGACTGTTCTGATTGCAGGAGGGATTTTTTTGATGTCATGGATTACTGGAGAATGCATTTCGATAATTAGCTTCTTAGTATTGTATGAAGTTTGTTGGAAATTAAACTGACAGTTTCTGTCCATGATTTTGTTTTTGTTTGAGACAGATCTTTATCAATTATGCTACTGTTTGTTATTGTGATGTCATAATTTTCTTTTTTTAAAAAATTGTGTGAAACTTAGATGCAAGTTTTGATACTTTTTTTTTAAAACTTTTTATTTTTATTTATTTAAAATTTATTTTCCCTAAAACAAATTATTTAAACATTATATATACATCTGCAATATACAACCATTTTGAATTTGATGTCATCAGTGGCCTGTTCTTGGTAAATAATCATCTCTTTAAAGACAGTTTCTAAGTTGTCTTTATAATTTCTTTCATGTTAATTGAGTGATTTTAATTTCTTTAGTTTCAAACCATTTTATGTTGTTTATCTTTTAGTTGGGAATAATTGTTTATCTTTTAGCGTTTAGTTGGATTATCTTTTAGTTGTTTATGTTTATCTTTTGTTTTATACCTATTTGACAGCATCTATATTCAGCTATGAAGTTTTCATGTTCATGATATTACAAGATCTTTTTTAACATATTGATGATGTTACTACACGATTTTTTTTCTCTGTTTTTCAATGGTAGGAGATATGTTTTCTTAAATATGCAATTTAAATAGATGAGTTAATTGATAATAAATCTGTAGTCTTGAGTGGGTAAGAAACTTTTAATTTATGCAATTTAAACAGAGTTGAACTCATTTATTTGTAAACCTAAAATGAGTTTAGAAGTTTTAAATCTTCCATTTTGAAAAAAATTAAGTGATTTTTGTATATATTACTTTTCTGACTGGGCATGGCTATTTCTCACAATAGAAATATTTAGCGCTGTACTAGTAAAATATTCTAAGTAAATTCTTATAAAACATAAAAAATTATGAACATTACTATATGATTGTCCAATAGTATGTTGGATGAACGCAGTTCATGTTTTTGAAATTACAAACTCATCACAACACGCACATAAATGCAATAAGAACCACAATTGCTTTAGAAGTGTTTGATTCGGGTTATCTTTCCTGAGCCATGCCAGTAGAAATGAAATTGTTCAACAATTTGTCCTGTTTTTCACGTTATGAGATGATAAAAACCATGTGGCTTTGTCTTGTCATTCTCAGTCTGCAATTTGTGCTGCTGAGGCTTGTTGCTATTATCTGATATATGAAAAGAGAAGTCACGTAAAATGCCAATATTGACAAATTTTATGAACCTTATAACATCTGAAAGGATGATTGTTAAACTGAATAGCATGTATACCTGGTTTGGAAAATATTTTGGATCATCTTACGAGGTGATTCCTGTGCCGCATACTCCAACTGAAGAATCTCGTCTGAGGAGAGGCGCCAACCCAGAGCACCCAAGTTTTCCTCTGCCTGTGTTATTGACTTGACTCCAGGAATTGGAATTGTACCTTTGCATATACACCAATTTATTGCAACCTGATACGACAAAGCGATACATTATACAATGATTTTATTAAACCGGGCAAGGTTGGTAGAGTAAGTGTTCAACATTGATATTCGTAACGCACCTAGGACAAGGACAATTATATGGGTTGGCTGGTAGTTCTTCAAAGTGAAGTTTAGAGAGCCTTTAAAAAAGTAAGTTATGTTGGCAAACACGACATTAAAAACGTGATTGAGTTGGTATTAAAGATTTGTCTTTTTTGGTGGTTGATCCTGATAATGAAGAGTGAAGTAGGAATAGCTCTGATGTTGTGGACAAGTTAAGCATCAATGATGTCTGATATCATATAATCCTTAATTGAGTAATCTTTTACTTTTCTGTTGAAAGAGTTTTTAGTATTGTCATTTGGAGCTCAGAACAAGGACAAGGAGTAGTATTGTACAAGAAAGATTTGATCAAGAGACCGAAGAGAGATGTTTATAGTCTGAATATGACTGCCAAATTTGATAAAGTTATGTTTCCAGAAGATGGGCCAAGCCCGCGGGGCCTAGCTTTGCAAAAGTGGATGGAACTGTATGTAAGCATGCACCTTATTAATGTGAAAACTACAGAACTTGTTGAAATGCTCTTGTCAAATAAATGTGAGGAAAAGAAAATCTACCCAATGGAAAGAACATTTATAGCACTATCTGTTCATTGACCTCATTCAGTGGTGGTCCCGCTGGAATTCAAGTGATTGATATAGTTCCACAATAAGTGTGGATGAGTGTTGTAAACTTCAGAGTAACGAGTTTGATTCCTACTGTTAAAAAAAGAGCTCTAAACCACTAATGCAAGATATGCTACTGCATAATACATAGTACACCTTCAGGCTTCAAACATATTTAGTTGCCTCAAACTAATAAACAGTCAAAAGAAGTCGATGAGAATTTTAGTACTACCTCTGGGCAAAGTGATATTCATACACAAAATGTAAACAGGGCGTAGTGGGAAAAATAGGAAAAAGATTACCTGTGACATGGTTTTGCGTCTTTTATTTGCAATTTCTCTCAAGGAACTCAATAAAGGATCCAGTCCTGGAAGTATTTGCTTAAATAGCAATCCCCTGTGATTTGCAATTAATAACAAAGGTACAGCGAAAAGAAGCTAATAATGCACTAAGCTATAATCTTAAACGCCAAATAGCGGTCTAAAATGTTTGCCTAATTGTCAACACACCTTGGCCCAGTTGGAAGTTTGGATGCCGAGTATTTCCCAGTAAGCATTCCAAGCCCCAGAGGACTATAAGCAATTACCCGAATACCCAGAGAATCACATATACTTTTGATCTCTAGTTGTTCTTCCCCCATGCTTAGCAAAGAAAATTGCACCTGAAATGTTGAAATTACCATAAAGAATATTAATGAAAGAATAACCAGAAGAGTATTACAATTACTGAATGGTTATAGCATACTGATAGCATAATTTGCAGGATTCAGAATCACTACTGTTTGGAGTTATCCCGGTAACTTATGTTCATTTAACTCATACCTCACTCAGAAACTCAATAAGGTATGATACTATATTTTGTGTCTTGTTTTAACAATTAGACCATGCTTATTTGTCACTACTGAAATTAAAATGAATTTCTCCAAAAACAATTTGATTGTTAAATGTTATTACATTACTAGACGTAACATTATACCTGGGCTGAGCATAAGGGAACTCCACGTTCTTTCAAGTAATCATGTATCTTTAAAAGCTGCTTCGGTCCATAATTACTAACTCCAACAGCTTGAACTAAACCCTAAATGGCAATAAATATGAAGATTAAATGTTGTTGTATTGAAGAAATCAAAACTAATGCTTTTCTTCTAGTAAGAACCGTTGAACAATTTGTTTATGCTCTTCAGATATGTGAAAATATGAAAATTGCAAGTAAATATCTATACCACCCAGAATGTCTTTATCTACACATTGCATTACAGACTTCAATTATGGTACTTTATACAGGAAAAAAAACATTTATAAGTAACCTCCAAGTCAAAATTTTAAAGAAGGGTTCACTTAAGGTCTTTATTGTGATTCTACTATTAACCATGAATTATTGTAACCTTGTCATACATTGCCACTAAACCATCCCAAAGTGCTAATTCCTGGAAAGGAGCATAATTTGCAGTTGACCAATGTAGTTGTCCTATCCCAATTTGCTCAATCTGCATCCTATCTAGTGATGCCCTGAAAATTTATTTTATTCAAGTTCAATAGCATAAGGAGAATATGTAAAACAGATATTTCCGTGGAAGGTTGAATATGAAGACTACCTGCAAGCATTCACAAACTGCCCTGGTGTAAGGCGCCATGGATAAGCAGCAAATTTTGTAGCAATCACAATTTCACTCTTGCTCCCCTTTTTCTCTAAGGAAGTGAACACACAATTTGATGAACAAGAAAAGGAAGTCAAAGAGTTCAATACAGTGTGTATTATGTTTTTCCACTAAGGTTCTTCAGATTAATTTATTTGAGCTTATCTGATAGTATAAACACTTGTAAAAGTGTTTGGGAGAGCTTACGGAAACAATTTACGATATCCATTACGTTATTTTCAGAAATTCTCTAAGATAGCTTAGTAAAACGACTTATAGCTCAATAAAAGCAGTTTGGCTTTTGATAAAGAAAGCTTATACATAAGCAATTATATGATAAGCGTTTATACTCTAAGCGCATAACTAAGTTATTCATCCAAACATGGCCTAAGACATGCTTCATGATATCTATTTCCTACTCACATTTATTTACACAGGCAGGCTATTCAGAAAAGCAAAGGCATAGTATACATGTAGTGGAAGATGAATGAACCTCGAAAATCTCGAATGAACTTCCCAAGGAGTTTCTCGCTCTGGCCATTAAACCTTCCAGTCCCATAAGAATCAGCAGTGTCAAAAAGATTAACACCATTCTCCACAGCCATGTTGAAGACTTGTTGAAGGTCATCATCCATAGATTCCTTATACCCCCAAAGAATCTGATTTCCCCATGCCCATGTTCCAAAACCCATTGGAGAAACAGTAAGAGGCCCCATCTTCACCTAAAAAAAAGCATGCTGGTTAGCACAGTCATTACAACAAACACCATACGTGCATCATTGAAATTCAATTTGAAAGGGAAATAGAGAATAGAGAATACAGTACCTTTTGTGTGGATGGCCATAAAGAAGGGAATTTAAAAGGAAAAGATGGTAAGGGGTTAATGTTTGATGAAGCAACAACGCAGCAAGAAGCTGAGAGTGCCATTGCTATGAGTGAAAGCAACAACACCGGTTTTGGATAATAATTTGATGGAAAAAGTAAAAAAAAAAAAAAATTTGAAATGACAGCTGTGGGATTTGAACCCACGCCCTTTCGGACCAGAGCCTAAATCTGGCGCCTTAGACCACTCGGCCAAACTGTCTTGTTGTTTGGTTTATCCGAGATAATGAATCTATTATAAAAATGGCAGGGTGGTGTTGTTACTTTCAAACTGTTAATGAAAATGAGGTTATGGAATATGTTTGCTGGTAGACAAGAACTTATATTAATTTTATATCTTGGAAATGTGTAACTCACTCAGTTTCAGTTTTTAATGTGTACACGAAGATAAGAAAATGGATATGTTTGTGAGGTGGAGTTCATTAAAAGCAAACCGAAGAAGGATATTCTATTGGATCATTGGATTTACTAAGTTAACTATGCATCCATCAACTATCATTCACTCACCTTTGATTCATTATTGCCTCTGATTTTACTTATAAAAAAACTTTATTTTTTTAAATTTATTGAATAAGTATATGTTATTCAATACATTTAAAAAGTAATTTTTTTATAAATAAAATTAATTTATTGCAAAAATTGAAAACTAACCTACAAATCATTTACTAGTCTAATATTATTTCTATATTAGGATATTGCGATTATGGTTAGCATGACTCTTAGACCGTGATTACCAAAACATCCTTACATATATTTGTATGATAAAACATACAATTTATTTATACATATTATATACTTTCTAACTCGAAATATGATCATTAATTTTTTAGTTGGTTGAAGAACTCTATAACGGTAGAAATAGTAACACAAAATTGCACAGTGAAAAGTAGAAGCAACTTTGGGAGGAAACTTAAAGTCGAGCTAGTGCAAATAGAAGATCTCGAGTAACCTATTTAAAATCTAAAATTTATAGTATCAAGAAAGAATAAATGAAGATGAAAGACTATTTGATCAAGAAAATAACAAACTTAAATTTGCAGAAAATCCAATCTCTACCACAAATATAATCATTCAAACCTTAAATGATTTAGATTTTGAGTATAACCATATTGCGGTTAACCTTTATAATTAAATCTCTCTCAGCTGGATTGACTTACAATCTCAACTATTGAGTTTTGAATCTAAAATTGAACAATTCGCTAACTTCAATAAGTTCACTCTAAATGCCTCAACAAATGTAATTAAGAAAATAGATCACCAAAAAAATTAAAGAGGCAACAAATCTAGATTAAATGGATACCAGAGAGATTCCAACATCAAAGATTGAGGAGATAACTGGGAAAGAGGCATGACTAGGCCAACATGTAAGGTATTACAAAGTTGACCATACAATTTTGTATTTTTTCCTACATGTTTGAGAAATCCTACTCAAGGTCAAGCCACTCAGTAAATGGTAACAAACAAGGTGAACAAAATGGCTTCCTAGGATCACAAATCCATGTTCAAGACTATGATTAATATTTTGACAGCGGTGCTAGCCAGGGTTGACCCAATCAATCTGGAGGCTTCGTTATAATTTTAAAAATGGTCATAAATAAACAATGGTAATTATAATAAGGAAAAATAACCTTTTTCGTCTCTTAACTTTAACTCGGGGTCTAGTTTGGTCCCTTAACTTTAAAAAGTGGCAAGTTGGTCCTCTAACTTTTAAAATAATGTCACATTTATCCTTCTGTCTGTTTCCGTTAGTCAAAGTTTGAAAACAATTGCCACGTTTGTCCAGGTGGACTTGATGTTGTTGACGTGGATATGAAATGTCTTAAAACAAAATCCCTTTTGAACTGGCTTTCCATTACCTAGAAGATAAGAGGATCGATGGTACGAGTAAACTCAATGAAGCATTGAAGATGATTCAAGGATTGTTCCAGACGCGAAGGATTGAGGGCGAAGGATTGAAGACAATTGAATGAGACATTATCAAAAGGTTAGTTCGTTTCTCTCTGATTTAGGGTTTACGAATCTCATAAGACAATATCTGCTAGAGGTTTAGATTTAGGGTTTATGTAAATTTTGTAGTGTAAACTTAAATTATTTAGATAATATGATTAGGTATCATGGATAAATACATAACTCTCAAAATTCATCATAGTGGTGAGTTCACTGATGAAAGTCGTAGTGTATATGAGAATGAAGTAGTAGATGATTTGAGAGTAGATGTAGACAAATGGAGTTATTTTGAGCTAGTTGGTGTATTGAAAGACTTAGGTTATATGGAGCTTGAAAGACACTTGGCAACTCAGAAAAGTAATTGACAAACACAGTTGTAGTAGAGAGTATAATGTGAACCTGATGAGTACAAAGTGGTTGAGTAAAAGAATTCAGAATAGCTTGAAAAACAATCCAAGGTTGAGTATAAAGGATATAAGGAGAAGGCACAAAAAAAGTGGAATGTTGAGCTCAACAAAACCAAAACTATAAGAGCACGATTTGCAACTAGAGATTATGTTAATGGTTCTTTTTTGAGAGATTACACAAGGGTCTATGACTACTGTCATGAACTGTTAAGAGCCAATCCAGGGTCAACAATTAAGATCAATGTTGAGCCTGTACAAGAAGGTGTTGAGGATTAAAGACCATATTTTAGAAGGCTTTACATATGTTATGCTGCGTGTAAGGAAAGCTTTAAGTTGTGCAGGCATGTAATAGGTCTAGATGGATGTTTTGTTAAGGGGTTGCGTGGATGGCAGATTCTAGCTGCCATAGGGAGGGATCCTAATGACCAGATGCTTCCCATAGCATATGCAGTTGTAGAGAGTGATAACAAGAATAGTTGAACTTGGTTTTTAGAGTTGTTAATTGATGACCTTAGAGGCAAAAATTAATGCATGACTTACACCTACATTGTATGTTATGCTATTGCAGGGTCTGCTACCTACTATGGATGAACTATTTCAAAGGTGGAACACATGTTTTGTGTTAGGTCCCTCTATAACAATTTTAGAAAGAGATTTCCTGGAAATATGTTGAAGGACATAATATGGAAAGCTGCCAAGTCAACATACCCACAAGCATGGGAAAGAGAGATGAAGGGAATGAGGGCCATCAAAGAAGACGCATTTAAAAATATGATGAAGACCCCACCGAGGTTTTGGAGTAGATATTACTTTAGGATTGAAAACAAATGTGATGTTGTTCTCAACAACATGTCTGAATCCTTTAATAGTGTCATTCTTGATGCAAGGGAAATACTTCTAATCACTATGTTGAAAGACATCAGAATATACATGATGGAGAAATGGGAAAATAACATAATAAGATTTGGCACTTTGGATGAGAATGATATATTGCCCAATATTAGAAAGAAACTTGACGTCACAATCACATACACCAACAACTGGCTAGTAAGGTATGTAATATCAGCATACATTAATTCTTTAGGATGTCTATAACATACAATCCAAACATGTGACTCATATATTCTGTTTGTTTAATTATTTAGGATGTTTGATGAACATATATTTGAAGTAAGGCACTTGGAAAATCAAGCTGACAAATTTGTTGTGAACCTGAAAGATCATATATGTTCATGCAGAAGATGGGAACTCACAGGACTCCCATGTGTTCATGCTTTGTCTGCTATGAAGAGTAGGAATTTCAAAATTGATACTTACATTCTAGATTATTATAGGGTTTTAAGGTACAAGGCAGTTTATAAGCATGTGATCTACCCTGTTAATGAATCAAACTTGTGGGTTAAGACACCATATCCAAATGTGCAACCACCCAAGTTCAGGAAGATTCCTAGTAGACCTAAAAAGAGGAGGAACCTAGAACAAGGTGAAATTAATGGGTCTGATTGCAAATTGAGAAGAACAAGTTTTATGGTGAAGTGTAGTAGGTGTAAGAAAGCAGGACACAACAAGTCTACATGCAAGGACACAACAACTCAGACTACTCAATAATAAACCAAACCCTCTCATACTCCAACTCAGATTGCTCAACAATCAACCCAACACACTCCTACTCTAACAACTCAGCCTACTTAACAACCAAGCCAACCCTTTCAGAACACAACAACACACACTGCTAAGGGAACTTCTACTAAAAAATCTAGCCAAGCATCTCAGACTTCTAAGGGAAAAGCTGCTCAGAAGACACATGGACCTGCTAAAGGCAAGACACAAAAGTTGTCTGTTAGGAAGCCAACAAGACCTTTTGTACCACCCGGACCTACAACTAGGTTGAGTGCTATCAAGAATGTTGTTGGCCTAGTAACAAGGAGGTCTAATCCAACAAAGAGGACCACGCCAAAGAAGAACATCTAGATATAATTAGGCTATCATGTCATGTGAAATCACTTTATATTTTGATGTATAATTAATTTATGTTTTTTGCTGTTGTTTGGAACATGTGTATTATAAGTTTATGTATCCTGCTGTTGTTTGGAACATGTGCGGAATTACTTTATTTATTTTGTGGAACATGTGTATCAGTTTGTGGACATGTTATGAAATGGAATCTGTCATAATATTGTGTTAAAAGCACAACCTATTTATGGAACTGTTATGAACTTTATGTTAAAAGCAGAACCAACTTATAGGTCATAATGATTATGGACCCGTCATAATGTTGTGTTAAAAATGCAGACCAAGTTAAAAGCAAAACCAACTTTGATAGGTCTATAACAGACCAAGTAAACATAAAAATAGAACATACCAAATAGAATTTATAGGTCATTGTGTGCTATATAAAACACTTATAGATAATTGTGTGTTAAAATCAAGATAATCTTTAATAGACCAAATATTGCATTCATGTAAAAATAACATAATCTTTAACAATGCAAACCAAGTTAAAAGCAGAACCAACTTTGACAGCTCTATAACAGACCAAGTAAACATAAAAACAAAACATACCAAATAGAACTTATAAATCATTGTGTGTTATATAAAACACTTATAGGTCACTGTGTGTTAAAATCAAGTCAATATTTAACTATTACATTCATGTTGAACTGATACAATTCAAAACTAAAACTGATACAT